TGTATATAATATATATTCGTTTTCTATACTCAAATTCTATAGGTAATATTATACTATCTCTTATATAAGGACAATCATTGGAGCTTACCTCCTACGTCATTTTGGCAGATATAAGTTTCAGTAAAATATTTCAACCAATTCATCATATCTTGTGCTATCTTGTTTGTCAAGCCGTTTTACACGTTCGTTTACGTATAAAGATTTCATTGTACCGATTGTTCGCGTCGTCAAAATTCGATAAAATCTCGTTCCATTACAATTCTCGATAAAAACTTTTCTAAACGCGACACGTTATGGGCGAATTGTAATTACGCGTGAAATTAATTTAATGAAATTTTTTAATACAATAAAATATATACGCGTATTTCAAATCAATAATTTTATAAACAGGCCTTATTCCCTTTAAAGGTTCTTCTAAAAAGATTTATACCTAATAGCATACGATAACGGACTGAGTTGCCTATTTGCTGTTACATAATATTAATAATTAACATTATATATTATTTTACATTTCTCGTGACGTTTAAGGACAAAGTAGTCTTTTTTTTTTTTCTTTTTCTTTTTCTTTTTGACGTAGTGCCCCCCCGTTTTTCTCTACTTAGGTCTCCATTTCTACACATCGATAGCGCTTATTTACATTATTTCATAAATGACATCGTTTCGAATATTATATACCCGTTGCTCGCTGCAAAGCACAGGTATTTTATTTTTTTTAATTCTTTTTTTTTTTTTTCAATTCTTTTTTTCAATCCAATCGCTCTCTTCTTCCTTTCACCAGAATGATTAATACGCGCATTATGATAAAAGATCTGTAGATCAAGAACAGTGCGTTACATTCACATCGTATACATCAGAGGTCAGTATCGCGGTAATAATACGCAAACGTACCTGGTACTTGACTATTATCTTGTGGTTTGTTGTTCATAAAAGAATCCTGGAACGGATTTACATTGGCATTAGCAGCGGTAGGCATATACGTGTTTGCCATTGGAGTGAAAGGTATAGCTGCTGGATTTAAGTTCGAGTTGAGGGTGTCTTCATTGGCCAAATTGGATGTCAGTTGGAGTATTGGACCACTACTGCTATTACTGAGAGAGTCGAATTCCGTTAGGTCTAACAGGTTGTTGGTCACGTTGTTTTGTTTGCTATAAAATCAGCGAAAGGAAACATACAAATACTAAATAATAGGCGATTAATACTAGATACTACCGCATCAGCGTTATCGTAATTTCTAAGATAAAAATTATAATCACTAATAATTGATCAAGCCAATCATAGGCGATTCGTAGTTCGAGAAACTATTTTGCTAATATTAATAAGTGCAATAACTCGTACAATTATTTCTTAATAACTATTTTTTTATATCTTAATTTAAAAATTATATATGTATATTTTTTTTAAATGTCTAATACGTCTAAAAGATTTTAGCGAACGAATGAAGGAGAAATAAAGAATTAACAGACTATGTACTGAATCTTTTCAAATTATTCGTTTCAAATTATAATTATAAAAAAAATTTGAAAGCAAACATTAATCCTGAAAACTTATCTTACAATCGATTTGCGATAATATTTAATCTTGCATCAGCACTATTATATCTTACTAATATTTTGAAAGGCAGCTACTTTGATACTGTAAAGCAGCTATAAAAAAAAGCATTTCTATGTATTTGAGAATTTACAAAAAAATTTTATGGCATAACATAAATTGTATAAGAAACACAATTAACATAGAAAAGAATTTCTCTTTTCGATAAAATTATACAGTAAGTAATATAAATAGATGATTACCATACAGCAGGTTTTATCGATAATAATTTTTGAATCATGTAGTTCCTATTTTCTCTTATTCATAGATAGAATAAGATGAAAAACATTCATGCCCGGCATAGTTAACTTCCTATAGGGATTGTGGAATGGATTGTGTGAAATATATATATGTATATATATATGTATTTTTTTTTTTTTTTTACAACAAAAAAATAACTTTAAAATGTGTGGAGGTTGATAGTACATAGCAAAAGTAGACAGTAAGTTGACACGTACTGCTGGATGATATACAACGCAAACATAAAGAACAAGTACAAAGTAGAGCAAAGAAAAGTAGAAGCCACACCATATTGATACAATTAATTCACAACATGCAATGGTGGTAATAAAGTCGATAAGAAGAAATGTTAATACGAACATTGTAATTAAGGCATACACGTTGAGCTTGAGTGGTAACTAGTAGTGGAGGAAAGATAAAGTAATAGCTCACCAAAGATTACACACTGTAAATATAAAAATATATGAAAACATAATAATATATAGAAACAGTGTATCTTTGATGAACTTTTGTGATAAAATTATAGACAAAATTTTTTAGATGAGTCATTAAATTTATACTATTTATCCTTCTTTACATTATGTACACTGAATTTATTATTGATTAATTGATATTTAACGCTATAGCTCTGTTAGTTTCTTAACATTTCCATGCTTTTTATAACATTACATTTTTTTTTATGCCATTAACATATTACTAAAAAGAATCGGCGTACAATATAAGTTAAATTTTTCATTATTCCTTTAGATATCTACCTAAAAATAGTATATTTTTAAACTAGCACACGATTAAATATAAATTATAAAATATATATAAGTATAATAGATAATACACAATATACATTCCTCATACCTCTCGAGTTACCGATGATATAATATTATATATAATTTGTTAGTTATATTAATATAGTCGTGCGATTAGGTGAATTTTCATTAGCAATATGTAATTGCTATAAATATTTTTTTTATATTTGTCAACCATTGCTCTGACTACTTTTGCAATGTACAATATAGTATGTAAAGTCGTTTGCATTATAATGATAGTTTATTATAAAGCAATTTTTACCGAGCTAAATGGAATTTTATAAGCAGTTCCTTCCGATGTGATTCATGGATAAAGCGCAATAAATTTTTGTTATTTAAATAACTATGTATAGTGTACATATAGCGTAGATATATTCTCAAACTTAATTTTTCCGTTATCATACGGGTATCACAAAAAACATCTCAAACAACAAAATTCATTATATACATATTAACGATTCTCATATTAATTCTCAACATACCATGTGCCTTTATAATTCAGAATAATCGTATTGCAGGATTATGATTTTTCAACATATATTTCTTAATTGTTCTTTTCTAGAACAATCAAACAATGTATTTATTAATTTTTTTTTGTTTTATGGTCAAAAAATCATACGTTATGCTTATTATGTGTGTATTTAATGTGGCACATTTTTTACTTCTATTATATGTATATGTATATATATATATATTCGTTTAGAAAACAATGTTCACACTCTAGCCATTTTTTTTTCAGTGTTTAACATTCTAGTTGAAAAAACGGAAGGTTATGATAAAAAATAATAATATTAAATCTGATACAACAATGATAAAGTTACATAGATAAAAGCAATATTATTATTACGCAGTAATTTGAATATAGAGTAACTAATTACATAAATTTTAAAAATTGTTATTTATAGTTCACATTGTATGCATGTGCGTGTCTATTAATTCCTTGTGAGTCTATAAACAACTTTATATTGTATAAATGACTAGAGCGGTACCCTGAATCATTCATTATGTGAACTGTCCTATATTCATGTTAAATCAAGATTTAAGAATACATTTAGTATTAATGATTACGAATGCACTTTTCACGTATTATTCTATGTTAGCATGTATGTTCATGATACTTGTAGTGTTACATATGATTTGTATTCCGATTCAGATTTATTATATTTTGATTTTTTTCTTTTCTTTTTTATGATTTCAACACATTTTAACCTTTTTTTTTCTTTTTTCAATTATATTTTATACGACGAATACGTTCATATATATTTATGAACGGCACTAAAAATCAGTCAATATTTTTATTTTTATAATGGCTAGTATTGTGCAATTATTTATATTATATTAATTATATTAGCCATAATTTTGCTTTCTAAACGAAACTACAATTAAGTTTAGTAAATATATATATATATATTTGTATATCATATTCGCACAAAATTCTAGATAAAATATGCATTTCGTAGAAATGATATTCTAAAATATTCGCTATTTATTTTTCGGATTAAAAAGATTGTTTTTTTTTTTTTTTCTTTGAAAAAATATTCTTATTCTATGCGACAAAAAAAAACTAAAAAATGAAATAAATATATTCTCATAAAATGTTATGAAAATTTCTAATGCGTGGGTGTACACTGTGTAAGGAGGTTTTAGCAACGTTCGCTAAACTGATATAAGCCTTGTACGGGCATTCATAATATTATTATTGTCGAATGATCTAAAAACCAAATGAACTTACAATTCTTTGAGATGCTCTTCGATGTTATTTTTCAGTTTTTATTATCGATGAGAAATCCAGTTATATCTTGGATTTTTTCTTTTTTTTTTTTTTAATGGTGGTTGGTAAATGTCAGTATATAACTCTTACCCTAATATAAATGCTCGTTACGAATCTGTAACTTTGAAGTTGTTATACTTACACAGTGGCATTATCCAGTGTAATTGATTGACTGTTGATACCGTTTCCATGATTTGTATGATGACCATTCAGTTCTCCTTCCACATTACCCTGATTATTATCCAATACAATTTTATTTTCATTAATGCCATTACTATGCGTGCCGTTATGCACAATGTCCGTAGTAGTATTGTTTTCCGTATGATGAGCACGCTGCTCCCCGCTAATGAATTGTTGAGTCGCCTCGGATATCAGACTGGCTGTCATAACATCCTCGCTTTTATTAACTGGTGCTGTTTTATTTTCATCGTTAGGACTGTCTTCTTTCAACTTATCGCCATCACCACCTTCACCCTACGAATTACATTTACATAAACATCCCTTACTCATCGATAAAAAAATTAATCAACAAGAATTTTACAAATAAATTTACAATCTCACCTTCGTAGGTGTGTTACTCTGATTTTTGCCACGAGTTCTAAGCATAATTGCTTCGACGCGTTTACGTCTAGCAAGTCTCTCTTCCTCTTCTCTCTTAACACGTTCTGCCATTTCGATCCGTTGTCTGTAACATCGGATCGTCATTTAATCGATAAACACTTCGTGGATAATACAAAATCGTGTCGCTTCAAAGAAATCATCTGACCTTTCCGCTTCTTCCCTCGCTTTCCGCTCAGCCTCTTCTTTCTCCTGTTTCTGACGAGCCTCCTCTTCCCTTCTTCTCCTGTCCTCTTCCTCGCGACGTTTCGCTTCCTCTATCGCCAGTCTCAGTCTCTGTTCTTCAGCTTCTCGAGCTTCGTTAGCCAAACGAAGCGTTTCCTCCTCCAAACGTCGCTGTTCCTCTTCTTCGGCGCGCAATCTCTCGGCCTCTAAACGGGCTTCTTCCTCCTGTAAAAGGATACAGAAGTCTCTTTATGAAATTTCCTTCCTTCGTCGTCCACGAACAATGCGATCTTTCATACGGAGGATCTATTTAAAACCTCACCTGTCGTTGGCGTTCAAGTTCGGCTTCCCGTTCAGCCTGCTCTCTGGCTAATCTTCTACGTTCAGCTATAGCTGCCTTAGCTTCCTCTTCCGTAGTGATCCGGATCTTTGCTATCATCGATGCTGGAAAAAAGAAATTTCAAGAAAAAAGAAAAAAGGAAAAGAAAAAAAAAAGAAAGAAGAAATTTATTCCTCAATCCTCTCATATTCCAATTTTCAAAGGGTTCACAACTTAGCTTACCAGACATATCGACCTGCTCCTCCACGTTGCTCTCAGACTTGGCCTCGGCTTCCTTCTTGGCAGCTTTAGGCGTTTCTTGAGATCGCACAGCCGATTGATTCTCCTGATTCAAATTAGTCTCGTCCTTCGCCTGCTTGGACACGATATTGGACTGTTCTATAACGGTCGGCTTCTTCACCTCGTCGTTACCCTGCTCCGCGGCGCTTATCTCCTGCTGCAATTAATTAAACGAAACGAGAATATAAACGGCGATCGATCATTGGTCGGGGAACGCGTCGTACACCACGTATTTCATCTCGTTAACGAACGAGAAAATTAATTACTTGTGTTTTTTCGCTGCCTTGATCTTTCTTCTCCTCGTGCTTATCCTCCAATTTATCCTCCTTCCCTTCGCTTTTTATTATCTCGCCGGTACTACCGCGGATCAATGGAGCGTTCTCGGCGCCAGGACTCTGCAACGGTGTCACTTTCGGAGTTATCCGGGGCGAAGCCTTCGCGTTTTTCACCAGCTTCTCGGTCGGCTTCTTCATCTCCGCCGATTTCGGTGTAGACGTTTTCTTTGGAGTGCTATGGACCTTTGGCAGTGGCGGCTTCGAATCTTTCGGCGACTTTGTCTCGCTCACTAGATCTGTAGAATTCGTCGTACCAATTTATTTCACCCTAACCGTCCACACTCTTCTGTTCTCTATTACGTACACGCGAGGTATTTAAATGTGCAATCTTCAATAACAAGAGGAAGAAGATAATCAATAATGATTCAAAAAAAAAAAAAAAAAATTAGAAAAATCAATGAAAAAAAAAAAATTATACCGTGACTAAAAAAAAAAAAAAAAAAAAAAAAAAAAAAACAAAACGAAAAAAAAAAAATAAACCGTGGAAAAAAAAAAAAAAAAAAAAAAAAAGAAAAGAAAAAGAAAAACACTAACAAAAATAGCAAGTAAAAATCAACAAGTTGAGATAAAATAGAAAAACCGGAAAAAAGAGACGCGGACAAAGTGTCGGCAAACAAAGTATTCGAGTCCAAGTATCGCATGGTTAAAAGAGAATTTCTTCTCGTCGAATGGATTCGCACGCTCGTTGCGCCCGTGCGAAACGAGCACTTTCGAGCGGCGGCACTCTTCGTTTACCCGTTTATCTTTTTCTTTTTCTTTTTTTTTTAAATAACGAAAAAAAAAAAAGAGTATTCAAAAAAAGGCATGCTCACTGTGTCGTTCTGTGACCGAAACACCGGTACCGGCAATAGAAGCAGGTCGCGGTCGACGCGGGGCAGCTGTACGGGGACGCAGATTGACGTTACTGCTGCCCACACTGCTGGCGCTTTGCTGACTCATGGAGCTGTGCGGTCGTGATGGGCTGTTCGGTGTCACCTCCCCGCTGCGGATGCCTACGCGTACCCACCCAAGGTGAACATCTCTTGATTTACGTGTGTTTTATGGATTTGCGTTTGTCACGCGTTAAAAAAACATTCGAGCGAGTAAGTGAGATCGCCGTGAAATGCGGCGGGCCTTCGTGTTGTTCGCCGCGGCATTTCACAAGTGTATCTTTCTCCTTTTCTCGTGCCTGTGTTTACACGTCGTTCGATCGTCTCATACACACACACACACGCGTCAGATCATCGAGCACGATGCCGCGATGCTGACGCATTGTATATAGATCGTTACGTATACTGTCTCGACAAACTAATCGTATTTTCTTTGTCTCTTTTTTTTTTTTTTTTTTTTTTTTCATCTTTTCCGATCGATTTATTTGATAACATTCGAGCAAACGTGGATAATATATATATATATGTAATATATATGTATGTATATATTAAAAAAGATACAAGTAGCGAAATTAAATAGAAAACAAGCACCGCCACCAAAAAATATTATTGATCGTGTCGTATATGTGAGATGTATATGTACATCGGAGAGCATTATAAATTGAGAGAGAAAAAAAAAAAAAAAGAGGCAGAAATAATATAAATAATTTAAAGAAACAAGACGTAACGAGAACGAAAGATATTATGATACCTCAGCAAGAAAGAAAAGAATCGAAGAACGAAAGTGGAGCGATAAATGTATTGCACACTAAATACGATTGCGGTTCGTCTGTATACAGTCTATTATTGTGCGTAAAAAACGTGTGTATACGTGGTAATATATATATAAATAGATATATATACATATGAAAAAAAATTTTGTGTGGCTTACCAGAGAACGTTAGAGCGTACCTTCACCCCTGGGTACCGAAAAGCCGTTGAGATCTCAGTTTGTTTTCTTAGCAGGAGAGCGTTTTGTTAATCAATTCATAAGTAAAATTTCGTAAAATAAATTAACACGCACACAAAAAAAAAAAAAAAAGAATTTCATGCAATTTTGTGCGTATATCGTTGTTAAAAAAAAAAAAAAAAGTAGAACACAAACGTTGTTATAGAAAAATAATATCTGAAGCGTGAGACGCTTTGAAGAACGTTTTTGGTTAGTCCAGCACTTAAGCGTGAGATCTTCCATCCGTTTTCTCGCGGAATCGAACGAAAAATATCCGAAGTGTACCAAGAATTTTCCGTCTTATTGATTCACAATGGCTCCTCACTGCATTCGTACGCATGCACATGTGCACCCAACTCAAATTATACGGAACGACAACAAACTGATGCCGAGCACAGTCCGATTCTAATCCGATTAGATCCCATTTCAGATTCCAAATAAATCTGTCGAAATGAAATCGGGGATGGGAGGGAGAGAGTCGAAGTTAGCATTAAATAAAGCGAATCGTCACCGTCCAATGATACTTGTCGTAACCGCAACAGTATCGAACGCAAGAAACATCGTCGGAGATCAATGATTCAGTTGGTCGATCTCGATGATGATGATGATGATGATGATGATGATGATGATGATGATGATGATGATGATGATGATGATGATGATGATGATGATGATGATGATCAATGATCATACCGATGCAATATCGATAAAAGGATCTCGTTAAAAGGTAGAGAGAGAGAGAATCATCGAGTTGAGTGCACAAGAACGATCTTACCTTGTTGCTGTTGGTTCTGATGCTCGCGGGCTTTGCGACGGAGTCTCTCGGCCCTCGTTGGTCTCGGCATCGGAACCGCGCCTGGCAATGTACCCATGCTACGAGAGTTATCTGAGCGTTTCAGGCTCTTGCCCCCGGACGCAGCTAAATGTGACATGCTGCGACTCATGCTAGAAGCGCTCAGAGGCTGGCTTTGCTGTTCCGTCAATGTGCTAAGTTCTGTCGGACGTTTCCTAGGCTGCGCCAGTTGGTCCAGCCTGGACATGGAGTAAGTCCTACCTGGCGAACGTGTGAAGGCCTTTGCGCTCGAGCTACGCCCGGATGTTGGCGGTCCGTCACGTGGCGACGGTATCGTCGGCATCAGATCGGTGCGCCTCCTGTTCACCCGCAGATAAACCGAGCTAGGGGTTCCCGGCGTTCCGTCGCTTTCTTCACCTGCAATCGAGTTTCCCTTAGAAGCGAAGCGGCCACAAGCGTCGCCGGAAACTGCGCGTTATTAACAAGGTGTGTAACAAGGTGCGCGTACACATCCTCTCAACATCGCAACATAAAATGTCGTTCCATTTCGCGTGGATCCAGTGTTTTTTTTTCTGTGTGCGTGTGTACGTGTCGGTGTGCGTCCGTGTACATTCCCTTTTTTTTTTTCTTTTGCCTACTCAAATTTTCAAAATTCATCGCTGCTCTTCATGCTTGTTCTCTCCGTATCTGTGCGTATGCCCGTTTTTTTTTGTGTGTAGGTGCGAAGCGAAGATAGAAAGAATCGTTGTGCTACGAAATATACAGCTTTGGACGTCATTCGACAACGCTACCAGAAACGGAATCTCGAGCAACCCTCGAGACGAGGACAAATTGACGTAGCGCGTTGTGGTAGAAGAGGATGACATTACGTGTGATCGGGGAAAACAATGTGAAACTGGGAACGTGTACGAACGACGTTACGGAAGCGGTGTAATAAACGGTACATGCAAATGATACATCCGGTAAAAAATACGTTAAAGCGATAAAAAAGAAAAAAACCCCACACATGCAATAACGATACAAAGAAAATGTCTCGTGTTGTTCGATTCAAAGGCGTGTGTCGTTGTTGTGTTGCGATGTTGCGAATCGAATGAGAAATGATGAAAGAAGCCGTTTGCGAAAAAAAGTAAGCGAAATCTTAGAAGAAGAATATCATGAATTTCGAATCTATCTTCGTTGATATCGTTTAATAAAAGCGTGTTTATTCGTGTAATCGAAATCGTTTGTAAAGAAATGAAATATAATTTATCCGAGATACAAAGTATCGAATTGAAATTTAATTCGGAATACGGTATGTAGTGATGTAGTAATCGGTTTATATGAACGATATGGATGTATGCATTTATAACGAGAAAATAAATGCGAGGAAAATATAATCGAACGATAGTCTGTGTCGTAAAAAGTTCGTATTCGACAATTGATGCACCTCAGCTTCTCGATATTTACTTCCATTTCCGTAATAAAGAAACGTAATGATAAAACTGAATCCGAATAATAAAATAATTATATTAACAAGAGGAACGATGGTTAGATTCGATAATTAGCTCTTCTAATGTATTACAATATTACTCTAACGTGATTAGTAAACAAATCCATCGTAATGTATGTAAATGTTAGTATTGTTAGTATAAAATTTTTAATAGCGTTAGGATGCATTATGACTAACTAACGTGGTACGCGTCGTTCAACACCGATATATATATCCTTCGTTGAATAAAATTTTAAAAAAAATCTACTCCGCGCGATACAAAGATACAGGGATCGACACGACATCTGACAAAATTACTCGTTCATCGGTGTTCCACGACTTTACCAAGAATGTAGAGATACATATTTTTATGGCGTTAAATGAAAGTGACATGCTTGCAAGAGATATATATATATTCCGATGTGCTATAATAAACGAGAGATAAGGATATATCGATAGCTCATTCTGGGACAACAGAACAATTTCCCCGTTGCAGACTTTTTTTTTTTTTTTTTTTTTTTTTGTTTGTTCGACTTCAGGACTCACCACTGGCAGCCCGCTGAATCATCGGACGCCTAGTGTCGCTATCAGACTTATCATCGATGGCAAAGATGTCAGTTGTAGGAGGCAGAGAGAGGCTGGCTCTCTTATGTTTGGCAGGGGTTAAGGGAGGATCAGGGCTAGAATTCCAATTGAACACCTCGTACATGGACGAGGACATTCTCATATCTGCAAACAAACCATTCAACGCTGCAACATTAGGTTACTTTCCAATCGAATCTCTCTTCTTTTTCTTCTTTTTTCGTTTTTTTTTTTTTTTTTTTTTGCTCTCTTTTTCTTAATTCTCTCTAATCAAGGGTGGGCAAGGGTGGGGTTTGTTTTGAAATAAATAAAAAAGGGGGAGGGGGGAGAATTAGCACGAGAGTTAGATATAGTGCGGTTCACAGAATGTTCAAAAATTACGTTACAATTTGCCTGACAGAGCCACCACCAGTAAGTACAGAAATAAATATAGCGGATGCATAAAGGTCTTTTTTAATTACCGAACGAAGGGAAAAAAATCTATATTTTTTTCTCTCAATGTTACAACTCTAGCGAAATTATATTTACTCAGGCATATATTCTCGCTACAAACACCTATCTCCCTCCCTCTCTCTCTCTCTCTCTCTCTCTCTCT